CCATCAAAAAAATGGCGTATAAGGTCACAAATTCTGCTGCAGCCCGTATATGGGTGTTACATGTCCATAAATTCTTTAGTCATTGGGCTCTAAATTTTACATAACCAAATTGTCACTCTAAATCGATCTAATGACTTTTTTTAGACAGATGTCGCTTGTCTTGTCATTATTAAATTCATTATCCGAATTCTCAGAATGTTTTAACGAAAGTTTCATCTTAAAATAAAATTTTAATCAATCACAATTGTTTATCTCCATCATTTACCGGATTAATAATACAGAAATTACAGTTCAATTACAAACAATTAATTTTTAGTGATTTTATTAATTTTATTTAATTATACAGAAGTAATTATTAACATAAGTAAATATTAACATAAATATGGCAGTGTCCCTTAATGCTACAAATCTATCGATATATATATATATATATATATCACAAGCACACAAGGTTGGTACAATATCAAGTTTATTATAGTGATTTTCTTAGCCGCGTATGGCACAGATTGTGACCCAGTGTTGCCACAAGCTTATTTTTCATCGGGGTAGATTATCACGAGATAGCGGGGTTAAACTGATTTACAAAAGGGTAGATCTACCCCGAATGGGGTAGCTGTGGCAACACTGCCGCTATCACCTTTCCTATCGCGCGTCACGGCCGTTACGGCCGCAGCCGTCATTCAGGTTTCATTCAAGGCCCAGCGTCACGGCCTTGAATTTTTACTCCCAACGCGCGTAAAGAAGTTCAAAATGACGCGTCAAAAATATTCGTCATTGACATTTAAAAATTAAAAATTAGTTTTATTTTTCTAAAATGCAACTGTGTTAGAGCGTTAGTATCAGGTTCTGCGGAATATAGTTGTTGTTGATGAATTTTGTCACCGTGTGAGGAATGAAGACATTCTCAGAAGAGCTGGTCTAGAAGAACGTTAACTCTTCGTAATCATCAAGAAGAGGAAAATAGCCTATATGGGACACATACTACGTGGAGAACGCTATCACTTTCAGCGTCTGATTCTCCAGGGTAAAATAGAGAGGGGCAAAAGGGGAATAGGTCGAAGAAAGCTATCCTGGCTGAGAAATATTCGTCATTGGATAGGCATACAGGACTTCCAAGCACTCCAGGTCGCTGCAGTTAATAGAACCATCTAGAGGTGGGAATTCTAGTTCCTTGTTTAAAAACTAGAATTTTATTGTTAGTACCTTTGAATAAGAAGACTAAGGAAGGAGCATATCAAAAATCTTAGGTACACTGCGATGGGCCTCAAATATGGCCGACTTAAATTTCGGTTTATCAGTGTCGTTCTAATTTTATTTAAAAAATGTAAAACTATAATGTAAGGTAGACGTGGGGTAGACTCAATAATTTGTTGTTTTATTTTACGTTATGAATAAATGTTGGTAGTTATTAAAATTGTTATAAAAATATATAATTCTAATAAAAATAGATAAGTTATAATAAGTATTTATTAACACAAACATCCGATACGCTACTGAAGCAGGTAAGTCAAATTAACGCATCTAAATTCTTTGACATCTAATCTTTGACAAATAATAAATAAAAAAAGTTTTTGTCTAAAAATTCAGAATATCTACTTCGTTTTATAAGATATTCCTTAATTTTAGGGACTTAAAGTGAAACATTTTCATAAAATATTTAAAAAACAAACTAAAAATCGTATTCACGACAATTCTCTGTGGTAATTACGCCGCGCCGCCGCCGGCTGTGGCAATAGACAAGGTCGAATCCATCGTCGTCGCCTTGTATTATATCTCGGATCTGCCGACTGAATAGATTCCCGTGAACTAGCCTTTAAAAATTCCTCTAGGTCCGGATCCGATAACATACGGCTGACACTCCCCACTCCTGCCTAGCATCGATCGCGCTGGCCCGATCCGTACGTACGATGTACGTAAACTAGTCTTTTATTTAGTTCCTCTAGGTCCGGATCCGATAACGTACGGCTGGCTCTCCCCACTCCTGCCTACCATCGGGCTACGCGCGCTGGCCGATCCGTCGCCGTCGCATATTATTATATAACGGTCACAGTTTCGATCCCGGAATAGGTCCTGAGGAACTAGTTCTTTGAGAAACCAGGAACTAGTTCCTTTCATTCCGGGGTGGGAATAGTTCATTGGAACTAGTTCGCTCACGAACTACACACCTCTAGAACCATCTGACAAGGAAGAAAAAGATGAACGCCTACGCGGGAATCTGCACGGCACCTTAAGAGGAAGGATGAATTTTGAAATGCTAAAACTTTTAAATTAACAAAAATTACTACCACTACCTGATGGATAGGTGGTTATGTAATCTAGTAAAACCATGAAGCATAATATTTCTGTCTGGAAATAGTTCCTTTGTCTTATAAACCTTTATGATGTGTGATGTTTGAAAAATCAAGGAAGCGACAGCCATATAAGTTTTGGTTGTCCTAAAATTAAAATATATATTAGCTACTATATTTGAAATTGATGTTCCTTCATAATATTTTTAGATCAGTTTAAACATTAAACTTTAATCTCATATTAAATATTACAGCTATAAAACTGAATAATTTCTGAAAGTTAGATGTTTTATGAGGCCCTAAAATTGCTGGAAGGCTCTCCCACATGGTGATTAAATATCTAAAAAGCGAATGTGAATATTATGTGATTGCTAAAACACTGTAAATCTTTGCCGATATTTAGCATCATCCGATATTTTTTCTTTAATAATCTTTAATAATTGGTTTAATCATGACTGTAGATAAGTTTTAATAGAAAATAAATATGAAAATTTGTCATACTTTTAACCCTCAACTGGCGTGTTGGGTCCAGCGGACCCCAAGCACTATTTAAACCTCTGTAAAATGTTTACGTTTAAACGTAAACATTTTAGTGTTAAAATAACAAGCTTTTTATATTTATTTATTTAGCGTATGGCTTACATCACAGTATCTTAAGTTATAGGATACAGAATGGTATAAACAACAAAAAAAATGTATATAAAAAAACTGCATAAACAACAAAAAAATATGTAGATAAAAAAAACTGCATAAACAAAGAAAAAAAAAACATACACAACAAAAAAATAGGCTAATTCGTCTCATAAACAGATATCCAGTCTTTGTATATAATCAATTGCCTCCTGAGTAGCCATAAGGAAATCTTCTGAGTTGCCCATATATGCTCTTATTGGGCAGTCTTGCACTATATGTTTGACAGTCTGCCTGTCAGCTCCACATGCGGCTGAAGGGACTTTTCCCCACCTATTTAGAGAGTCGGCACGTCTTCCGCAGTTAGTTCTGATGCGGTTCAGAGTTGTCCATGTTCGACGGGGAAGGTCGAATCATGCAGGTTCATTAATAACGTACGGTAGACCATGATACATTGGAGCTGCCTCATTTTCCCATTTCTCTCTCCATCGCTCATTTATATCAAAATTATTTTGGTGCAGCTCATGTGCAGTCTTCAATGGAGGGTGTCTTGATCGTAGTCGATTTCCCTGGATGTGTGGTACGTCATCATGGACCTGCAACTGAGGGTTATTCATTATTTTAATAGACTCTCTGACCAAGGCATGTTCTCGGCGCAAATTGGGAGGAGCTATGTTGCTAAGAGTGGGCAGCCATATTGTAGGTGTTGGTCGAATTGTCCCTGATATAGTGCGCATAGTTTGGTTTAATTGAGTATCAACCATACGGGTGTGTTTGCTATTAAGCTACACTGGAGCACAGTATTCTGCTACAGGATATACCAAACCCAGCGCAGAGGATCTCAGGGTGGATGCTGATGAGCCCCAAGTTGTGCCACATAATTTTTGAAGTATGTTGTTACGTGTTCTCAACTTTGCCGTCATTCTTGTCAAGTGTTCTTTAAATGTAAGCGTCCTATCCAGAGTAACTCCGAGATATTTTGGATGTTTATTGTGAGTGAGTAGTTTGTTGTCCATGTACACTCGCAATTCTCTCTTTGCCATCTTATTATTAAGATGAAAGGCAGATACTTCATTTTTTTTTAAAAAATGGAGTCTCCATTTTTTAAAATACTCGCTAATGGTTGCTATGTCTCTGGAAAGTACAACTTCAGCATCCTCCACCCTCCTGTGCGCCATTGCCAATGTCCAGTCGTCTGCATAACCAAATTTTCGTGATTCAGTTGCCGGCATGTCCGCGATGTATAGACTGAAGAGTATGGGGGCAAGAAGCGACCCCTGAGGAAGACCGTCATTCAGTTTCATAGTTTTGCTCCTGTTATTCCCCATTATAACCTGGAATGTTCTATTTGACAGCATATTGTTAATGAGGTTGGATATTCTTACACAAGGAATGACGCGAGTGAGTTTATATATTAGGCCCTGTCTCCAGACGGTGTCATATGCTGCTGTCAGGTCTATAAATGCGGCAGCGACTACATGTTTCTTTTGAAATCCGGCCGCTATAAATGTTGTCAGTGATAAGACTTGATCTGTGCAGCTACGATGCGGGCGAAAGCCTGCTTGTTCATTGGGAATGCTGTCTAAAATTCTTTGACTGATTCTGTTGAGTAGCACTCTCTCGAGCAGTTTATAAACCATACTTAGCAGGGCGATGGGACGGTAGTTCTCTGGCCCATCACTTGTTTTCCCTGGTTTTAGTATTGCAATGATTTTTGTACGCTTAAGTGAGTAAAGAATATGTCCTGTGCGAAAGAGACGCAAGCTTTTTATAAAATCTCTTCATCATGTATTTTAAAGTGAAAAAAAAAATTGGGGTCCGTCGGACCCCAGCACGCCATAAGCGTTACTAAAATTCACCACACCAGTTGAGGGTTAAACAAAAAGATCTATCCCTTAAAAGATATGAGATTTTAAGAAAAAAAAATTATAATGCAAATATCACAATCACCAAGTTAACCATCACAATCACCAAGTTAACGTCACAATCACCAAGCTACGTTAGAATAAGTGTATCTTTAGAGACATTATCTTATAATCTCATTTTCTCAGTGATTAAAATAATCATTATATTTTTTTATAGAACTCTTCCATAGAGCCATATTGATGAGCGGTACAGCTTTAGCAGACTGGGCAGTGGTCAGCAAACCTCTAGATATCTCCATACAAGTAGCCCAATCATTAAACTGTCAGTTACATGATAATTTTTCAGACTGTTTACGAAGAAAAAGGTAAGTAGAAATAGTCTAAAATGTTTACAAATTAATATACAGGGTCGTCCAAATTGCATTTGAGAATCTTCGGTAGCATACTCTGCAGTTAAAAATATGTGAGTTTTATCTCGATTTTTTCAAAATAATTTCTGAACAAATATCGATATTGGAATGAACATTGGTGTCGGGGAATTTTTGTAACATGGGAAATTTGATTTCGATGTCAATCTGACTGCGACTTGTAGGGGGCACCACTTACATGTTAGTGAACTGTTTTGAGAAATAGTAATAATAGTCTAAGAGCTAGCAACGTTTTCGAGAAAGTATTTTAAGACGCCTGGCTCTTTGATATATCTTTTATTATTCTCTTTGGAACAGCGTGCAGGCCGTCTGGCTTCCGATACAAGTTGCGTTCACTACTGCGCATCCAAAGAAGATCCTCTATTTTTTACTTAGCGCTTTAAATTCTGGTATTGAATAAAAATCGAGCAAGTGTCCATTAGCTCGGCGCGTAGAGCTTTCGCCTATGAAGCGAAGGTCAGTGGTTCGATACCTGCTGGGGGTGCAACTTTTTTATTTTTTTTTTTCGTTTATATTCTAATAGTAAATTATGAAATATTTGTTTTTTATCACCGGAACGGATAGCGTTTATGAGTTTATGATCCGTAGTGTATATAAGTAGAATTTGATACTTTCATTTGTTTTGAAGGGTTATTGTGGTAATTAATTAGATAGGTTTAGGATGATCTGGCTGTTGCGCCGGTAGGTTGCGTTCACTACAGCGCATCACATGGGTACAGGGTGTCTCATTTTCGTGTGTTTTTTGGGATTTGGGATATCTGGGATTTCTCGTTTATGAGTGGAGATACAATGATGCGTTTTTTTTTGCGCATTTTCTACACATTAACATTAATCAATCTTGTTTAAAAAGTATTATTATTTTATTTAATTTAATTTAAAATTTAACCAGATAATTTTGTTTTCCATCGTTATCTTAACAAACTGAACTGAAAATAAACTTGTATAGTTTTTAGATAACAATCTGTTAAAAAAGTATTATTAAAATGATTATTAAAATAATAAACAACAGCTGAAAAAAATATATTGAAGAAAGGCAGAAATTACCTTAATAAAGCATTAAAATGTTAATTTCTATATATGATGTTTAAATCTTTAAAATGAAATTATAAACGAGAGATTCCAAAAAACGCACAAAAATGGGACAGCCTGTACACATGTGATGCGCAGTAGTGAACGCAACCTACCGGCGCGGCAGCCAGACCATCCTAAACCTACCTAATAATTAATTACCACAATAATCCTTCAAAACAAATGAAAGTATCAAATTCTACTTATGTATACGACGGATCATAAACCCATAAGCGCCATCCGTTCGGGTGATAAAAAAGCAAATATTTAACACTTTACTATCAGAATATAAACGAAAAAAAAATAAAAAAGTTACACTCACAGCCGGTATCGAACCACTGACCTTCGCTTCATAGGCGAAAACTCTACGCGCCGAGCTAATGGAGACTTGTTAGATTTTTATTCAATACTAGAATTTAAACCACTAAATAAAAAATAGAGGATCTTCTTTGGATGCGCAGTAGTGAACGCAACAGGTATCGGCAGCCAGACGGGCCGCATGCTGTTCCAGAGAGCATAATAAAAAATATATCAAAAAGCCAGACGTCTTAAAATACTTGTTTTCCCTACGTTGCTAGCTCTCGTACTATAACTTTTTGCCCGCATTTGTATTAAACTACTGAGTGAAAAAAATTGCATTTCCCTAAACACTTAATTATTTTACATAAAAAAGATCTTTTTTCTCTATCTTATATTTCTTGGTAAAAATTGCTAGGAGCAACCATTCTCAAGATATTTGGAATGGGAATTGTTAATACATGTCACCACTGACAACAATTAAACATGTTGCTTAGGTAGTTATTTGACTGAAATGAGAAATCTATGGGACACCGTCTATATTTATATATTTAAATTACCTATTAGTTTGAAATTTACATAAATAAAAGAGTAAGATATTAACTTTGTGTTATTTTAGGTTGGATCAAATTATGTCGTCTGCGGCAGTTAGCGATCCGTATAGGACAACCTTTGGACCTGTGGTGGATAATATATTTGTGCCTAACGACCCGAAAAAGTCAATGGCCCAGTACACGGACATATTTAAAAGGTAAACTTGACCCTAGGCAGGCCTGAAATAACATACGATCTAACAATCCTGGATTTAAGTTGATAGATATATCTATTTAGTTGGTTTGCTAATTGTGAAAGCAATGAAATCCCTTTTTTCAAATATGAATATAACGAAAATAGAATAACAATAAAAATTAAGGGGACAAAAGTCTAGCAAAGGTCAAAACACCTGTTTCCCAAGATCGCCGAAGCTAAGCGACGTTATACGATGCGAATGGTACGACGGGTGACCATATTAAAACTATGTCGTGCTGTTGTTCCATGGTAAGAGTGTAAAATCTATTGATACCCACTGCTCATTCACGACGGTTTTCGGCTGGACGAGATCAGAATAAGAGTCGATTTAGACAATCGTTAAGTCGGTAGGTCATTTAGGATATGGCTGAAGACCGCGGTTCGTATTCTGCTTAAACAAAGTAGGGCCCGTCCAGACTAACCTCATCATAAAAAAAGAGGTTAATTTGATGTACTTTACTAGTAAAACTTAAGTTTTTTCTTGCATTTACAATATATTTTTATGTAAATAATTTATGACAAGCAGAATGCCGGTATACAAAAAATGATTTCTATTTGCATAGTTTGTATTTTTCTCTACTATGTCCGATATTACATTTATAATTCATGGATTCTTTCTGAGAATCTTTTCCTTGGGGACCTAAAAAAGTAATAAAAATAAATCAAACTGATACAGAGAGAAAAGAAAGTGTGAGGGAGAATCATAAGATATGCAATATCTGAAAAAATGTTAGCTTTATAGGATCCAAGAACCGATCTTTTTTGTTTTTAATATACAGGGCTTAAAAAAATAGTGTATTTAACTTTGGTGGGTAATTCTACTGATAAAAAAGATAACCTCGAAAGGTTAAATAAAAATAATATAATTTTGTTTATTTTTAAGATTGGTAAACCATTATTCCTGAAATTTGGTACTCTTACATACATTTTAATGCCAAAGCGAATGGCGATTATGAGAAATTCAGTAACAGTTCTAAAAGGGCACTTTCTATTAGGGTAGAGAGTACCACTGGCGGTACTTATTTTATCCTTATAGATACAGTAATTTCGACAAAGAAATAATAAAAGCCGAAGAACAAGCAGGATTTAGAGCCGGAAGATCGACGGTGGACCAGTTATTTACAGTCACTCAAGTAATAAGTAAAAAGAACAATCTAAACCAAGAGCTACATCTTGTGTTCGTGGACCTGCAGAAGGCATACGACTTGTGAGACTTTGGGAAGCTTTGGAAAAAAACAATATAAACGTGGAGCTAATAAAAGCAGTAAAATCTTTATATGAACAAACGAAAACTAGAATAAAAATTAACAACATGATTTAATGGAACCGACTGTCTGAAACAAGGGTGTTGTATTTCACCAACACTGTTCAAGATCTATCTCGAACAAGTTCTCAAAGGTTGGAAGCAGAAATGTGGAAATATGGGAGTACCCATTGAGGATAACATGCTCTACACACTTTGCTTCGCGGACGATCAGGTGCTCATAGCACAAGATTACGATGACATAAATTATATAGTGACTGATAAATTATATAGTGATCTGATAAGACAGTGGAATTCTAGAACTTCAATCCGACATGGACATCAGGCTCGAGGAGAGTGACATAAATATACTCGCTCCCGTGCCAGAGAAGTCTAAGTGGGAGGTGGACGAAGACGGGCAAATTCAAACCAGTCCCAAAGACCTCAAAGATCAGGGATCGGATTCAAAACCAGCTAAAGTCTCTAATGAAGTCTTAAAACGCGCGGAGAATGTCATTTTTGCCAGAGCCATTAACTCGATTAGACCAATCGAGATCAAGAAGATCAGCAGTGATAGAGCCAAGCTGTATTCCGATGACAAAAAAGAGATAGTGGTTGAAGATGTCAAGGTTGCGGATGTGGTTGTGGAAAGACCGAGGTTGTCTGTTAAGGACAGGCTAGGTGTGAAAGTTGACGATCCCGACCCGAGGATAATTCTGGTAGAGAATCAGAAGAGTTCGCCACCTTTCACACATAGAGATCGCCGAATAGAAGTTCAAGAACACAGGCGTTCCGATCGTAGACGTTCTAAATCCAGAAAACGTGAATACAGTCGTGAAAGAGACAGTAAACGTCGAGACAGATCTGATAGAAACGCTGATAGAAATAAACGAGTCAGGCGTGATGATAAAGAACGAAGCAAACCAGAAGACCGCAAGGAAAAACACACGAAGAAAACCCCAATACGTAGCGACAGTGAGGAGCACAGACGAAAAAGAAAAGAGAAGAAAACAAAGAAGGAGAAAGAAAAGGAAAAGCCGAAGAAACACGAAGAAGTCAAGGAAGAGCTCGAAGAACAGAAACTGAAACTAGCCACCGAGAAGACACGTAATCTTATAGAAGACACGTAATCTTATAGAAGAATATCAGAAATGGGGACTGGAGATCGATACTAACAAAACAGAATATATGTGTATCGGAGGAGAACATCAAGATTTAATACTAGAGGAAAGAAAGGAAATTAAGTGCTGCACAAAATACAAATATTTGGGTATGCAAATTACAAATGATGGACTGTTGGATACGGCAATTAAAGAACGAAACCAACTTTGAAGGAATATTATTAAATGGGATACTGTAGGACATAAGCATAAACAACGGGAACAAAACACTAATATATAATACCATCATCAAGAGTATAACCACATACAGCTGTGAAGTGTGGCTAATTAAGGAAACAACAAAACGAATGCTGGAAGCTACAGAGATGGATTTTTTGAGAAGATCAGCAGACAAATCAAGACTCGAACGAATAACTAATGAACGCATAAGAGAGACTATGGAAGTTAAACATACAATAGTGGACGAGATAAAGAACAGTCTACTCATATGGTACGGGCAATTACGGGCATGTCCAAAAAATGGCAGAAATAAGAATCCCAAAGTAAATTATAAACTGGAAACCTGCAGGAAGAAGAAAACCGGGTAGACCAAGAAGAAGTTGGCAGGAAGGGATTGGCACGTTTATGGAGGAAAGATGGAGAGGGTGCAACATAAACTAAAACAGAAAACCGAACATAAACTAAAACAGAAAATGGCGCATATATTCTCTCGTCCGTGTCATTTTCCTTGTTGAATATATTCAATTGGTCAGGATAAGAATCAATCAGACTGCTTCAATAAGACTGTTAGGTAAGTACCTGCGCCTTGATGTTGAATCCAGTGGTGGCTACAGAAAAGTACAAATACTAAAGAGTGCGGGCCAAGGAAATGATGTCTAGGGCTTGGCCTCCCAAAATTATCATCAGTTGTCATTTCCCAGTCGTCTTCTGACTCCCGTTCTTGAAAGAAACCCTAAATCCTCAATTTATTTAACAAAATGTTAAAGGTCGCTGTTTGTAATATTTGTAAACATCAAATTCTTTCAGGAATTGTATTGTAAAGACGGACTGTATTGGCTAGTTTAAATTTCCGAAGAATCGGAAAAAAATGAGCCTCTTCCATCTTTACAGGTTCGTCCTGCATCAATTTAGACCCGCGGGAATTCGGCTCACGAAATATATGGCCGCAATGCCCTGTCACCTGGGTGGAATTTATTTGGCGAACAGTCCCGCAGAGAGACGCCCGAAAAAAAGGAATCAATGTAAAAGTCAAAAACACGCCGTTTATCATTTGGCCCGCAATCGATTTCCAGCAAATTGCATGCTTTACAAGAAATTAAGATGAACTTATGACTGAAATTAACATGACCAGTCGTTACTGTGGTTCAGCCTAAAAGAACCACTGTAGATTAGAGACTGTATATGACGGGGGAAGTTAATCACCGCGACCTTATAGATATATCGTGTACCCCTTTCTTGAGTTAAAACTCATCATACAGTTTTGGAGGGCCCGAATTCTGTAACTTTGACATAAAAACGTTACGCTTTCAAAGCGGTAAGCGAAAGTATTCGATGAGCGGAACGCCAAGTAGTCGATTTTGGTATAGTCTATAAAATGAATAACTTTGAATTTTGACCGTTATTTTTTACCAATATGGCAAATATAAAATCCCTCTGTCAAAAAAGTTACTGATATTCTTTAAATTGAATGCCTGAACGAATCAGATAGGTAACTCTTTTTTTTACTTTCGTGAAATAGAAAAGGAAAATAATAAAACAAGTGACAGTTCTTCCTCTTCTTGCAAAAACGAAATGTCATAATTGTCAAAAGTAAAATGCCATCTGCTTTTGATATTTCTAAATATCAGACCAATGCCGTCTCTAATAGAACAGCCTCGGAGCGAGATTTATGACGTCACGCTAGTTAGATACTACGGATTTATAAATATGTTGTAGAATACATGGAAAACATAATTATTCCTCGTATTTTTGGTTTGTATTTTAAAAATGAAATAGTTTACATGAAATATACATAATATATAGTTAATAAATACAATATATATACCTATTTATAGGAATAAATACTTTAGCAAATAAACTAAGAACCATACAAATGCAGCAAATGTTTTACAATATAATAATATGTGGCCATCTTTTGACAAGTTTATATTAATTTATTAATTGCAGTAAACATTATGTGGTGCTAGGTTAGGTTGTGAACACTATTTTTTCATGTGACACAACACTGATGAAGGCTATAATGTTAGCTGAAACGTTTTTTTAACCAAAAAAAATAATGAAAAACCAAACGAAAACTTAATCAGCGTTTTTTCCGAACCTAAATTCCCAGAAAATAAAAAAATTTAGAATAATTTTACACATAAAACTACTACCGATAGTGATTTTTATTTCATATCCATCGCTGGCGCCTTTTTTCTATGATATTGTATTATTTGCAAATATCATTTTTCGAACATTGATACTTTGCAAAATATACATATAAATTTTGTGAATGCAAATAATAATACATCACTATTAGTAGATATTAAATGTTTTTTGTTAAATTAGATCGATTTTCAAACCCCGAAATTTAAAATATATTTTACATTTTACCCATTA